AATCACAATAAGTACATGTTTGTCCTCAGTATAGGCTATGTTTTTAATATTAGCTAGACATTCACTTGATATAAACCATCAGGGAGAAAGTCAACCTCATGATAAATTAATTTGATAAAAATGCTAGTTTTTTAGGTGTTGCCTTGGCACCTAACAAACGGTGTTCATGTAGTGACCACTTTCTCATAGTGACCATGAATAACCTCAACAAAACAATGCATTCTGAGTGTTTCGATCATTCATAATTTGGATAAAATTATCAGAAAATCACTTTATTGGTGTTTCTTAGTCGATCGTTCGTTTCCAAAGCTCTGTCTTAGCTTCAGGCTGTTTCAGTCGACAGAGTAATCATTAAACAAGTAAACATAGTGTTTCCAGAGAAGGCGAGAAGAAGAAACAGCCGAGCTTAATAAAAAAATGTGGTGTGTGTGTGAGTCACCTTTTAGTTCAGTAGTTTGGACTGTGTTGAATAAAATCAATTTGACTAAGGAGGGTAATGGTGCAGCTCCTTGTTTATGTTTAATAATTGAGGCCAAAATGACCGCACGAATTGCCAGTTAGTCCCTAGTTGTAGCCTATACCTTCACCTACCTATCCTGCTGTTATGCTCTTATAGAAATCGTCATGTTTGGGTTGAGTCGCCCTTGTATTATATGATTCTGATGATTGAGAAAGATCCCTTGGCTTCAATTGAAATGAGTCAGATCAGTGTAGCACAGGGATGGGCAACGTTGATGGTTGTGGAGGACACAAACATATCTGAACTCATCATGAGTTCATTTCGTACACATCTACTCATTTTGCCATGTGGTGTAGAGAAAATGTTGCTGTTTTAAAGCTAGTTTGCTGCAATTCTAAACATTTTGCCATGTGGCGGAGAAAATATATAGCAATTTTATAACTAATTTCATGCATATTTTTAAGTTTTAGAATTAATTTCGTTCAATTCTACTCATTTTGCCATGGGGTGGAGAGGAACATTTATAGCTTTTTGGGGTGGGGGTTTGATCCGAGGGCCTTCACTGCCAGTTGCCCATCCCTACTGTAGCCTATTCATTTAAACATGCAAATAAACAGCAATGTTTTGTTATTGTGACCGTAATACTGTATAGCCTATATGGATGCCTGGATGATTTACGTTCCACACTTTTACGCACAGTCTTCGTGCGTAAAAGTGCGTAGGTCTTGCGCTATATGGTGAAGGGTTAGCCTAGCTCTGCCATGAGCAAACAAGGAACTCCGTCTGGTGATGTTTGGGGGACTGCAGATGCTCATTGCTCCCCTTTTGATTGATATTACGGTGACCCTTGTTAGACAGCTGTATTTCGGTGACCCATTTTAGACAGCTGCGTGTGGTATCTATCTGCGTTCGCTTTCCCCTCGCCATTTCCCTTACACTGTAGCGATGGAAATCCATCGACGCCTGTAAGTCTGTGAAGAGCCTATGGGTTTGAGTTCTGGAGAAGAGAGACACTAGATTGGCAAGTCCCCACGTTCCAAACGTTCCTGAAAACCGAGCTCTACAATCAAGGAGGTGACTTTACATACATATTTCTGCATTCATATTTCTGCCACTTGGCAGAGAAATTAATGTGTTCTCAGCGGGCTACATATTAACGCTCAAATACGATTAAACATATGTCGCTATTTTCTACACAGAGACGCAAAGCGTCAAAAACACATGTGACACAAAGACACACAGACACAGACACACACGCTGGCACACACACACATACATACATATACGCGCAGACACACACATATGCGCACACACAGACAGGCTAACATAAAGACAGACAGCCATAATCATACACACCTGCACGCATGCACACACACACACACACACAGTTCCTGTTCGAAGAGACTTATAAGGCAATAGGCCTTTACCTCAGTAATAATGATTGATAGTAACCACTGTTATTATTTATTATGAGTCTTAGTAGTAGTATTAATAGTAGTACAATTTATTTTAAAATGTGTTATATAGGCTATTCATATTGTGCATTATGTTCCTCTAAAAGGCAGACTTTTTGTGCAAGTAACTCATAGCCCATGCAGTTCCAGTTTAGGAATCCATGCCTATTCCCAGTGGTTTGATGTTTGAGTGATTTTAGAGAGTCATCTATCACCTTTGTAGGACAGCTTGAATTAAAGACCACTTCTGTAAATCATCACAACCATTGATTTCAAGCTGAAGGTCAATCACCTACTACTCATGCCAAAACTAAAATAGTTTTTCATAGCTGCCATTTGTTCATTATTATATAAATTTTTGGGTAATTTGAGGCATAATCTCCCCTGAATTAGGGCCAAAAATAAAAATATCTTTAGTCATTTAGGTCTTGAAAAGAGAGCAACATATATAACTAGGCCTATGTATTTTGTACATTTATGTATGTGTGTATGTAGCTATGTATGTATGCATGTATGTATGCTCTCTCGTCAGATTATTTTTTTTTTTTTGTCATTTAGCAGACGCTCTTATCCAGAGCGACTTACAGTTAGTGAGTGCATCCATGTTTCTCAAACTTCACCTTTCAAAGTTGTTCCAAACATCACATTTCGAAGTGTTTAATTTTAAGCTTAGGAATTAACTCAGAATTTTGGAATCGGAGGCAGATGCTTATGCCCATCCACCATCCCCGTTTGCAAGGCCCTAGCAAAACCGAACCCTACTTGAAGGTAACAACACTCACTGTTGCCCCTAGTGGCCGGCTTCCACGTCATCGCCCGACGTCCTCAGACAGGGATGGACGTCGAATACTGATTTGTATCACAGGTGACATAGCTGTGTATGTATATATGTATGTGTATATACTTTATAAAATTATTCAGCATTAACATAAGCAAATATACTTAATCTAAAAAAATGATGGTTATAACAATTATATACATTGGATTTATAGCTTACTATTTAGAAAATAAATGCACCATATCATCACATTTGAAATGTTATGTTTCCCCCAAAAAAACTATAGGCTACGTCCATCATCACACTGTGTCCTCAGACCATTTAAAACAAAAAAAGCCAGTGATCTTTCACTATTTTCACCACCTCAATAATCTCCACTGGTGTACAGCTTCCTATCACGCCTGCGGGACACTATACTTCCACATTACACAGAAAACATGTTCGGAAGTCATAAAACTGTCACGGTAGGTAGGTGATGCTTCGGTCTCTCCAAAAGGTAATAAACTATAATGTCTCAACTAATAAAGTACCAAGATAGTGAAGCATGCGAGCAACAGCACGGAAAAGCCCCTCAATGTTTGGCTTGTGCCATTTAAATCCGATTAGATAAGGTATGGATCTGGTTTCTGTCCTGCGTGTTGAGGTGGAACTCTGGGTGAGGCGTTCTACAGTGTGTTAGATCATTCAGGGACGACGACTTCTAGGCTATTATATCTCAGGTCAAGCCTGTTCAAATTCCCGTATTAAGGTTACTAAGAATTGCATTGATTCCTACCTCATTTAATTTATCTGAACAAATGCATAAATCCCCATATAGCCTTTACAAACAAAAATACGAAGAATTGTAAAAATCCATCATGCAGAAGAAATGTATCTTTCTCTGGGGTCTCTTACCTATATGAATGTCCATATAGAGGTATCCTAAAACGTTTAGTTTTTATATGATGGCTTTGGTTTAAAATCCAATATCAAAAGGCATTTCATATATTTCATATCTACCAACTGTCTCTGTGCTTCTCGCTTGGTCCACTGCTGGAAAATGATTTTCCGGCTGGGTTGTGCACTTTTTAAATCCCACAAAGTAAATAACAAGCTTGGCAATAATAGCAAGGTACCATGTTCTTGTTATAGAAAGGGAGAAAATTGAAACTAAACGCTGCATTTAGACAACCATTTTTGGTAAGAGGATACTTGAGGCGACACTGGCGTATAATTAGGGGATAATTTATGCTATATCCAGTTTTATTCCACCTTCCCAAAATAAACCCAGTCCATAATCATTACAGGCGAATTGTTCTTAATTTTATAGCTCCAATTTGAATTAAGTGTGGTGGTTAATCAAAGAGGTTTTGGTTTTAACTGATTGCGACCATAATTGCTTTTTCATCACCATTTTGAAATAAATTAATGCCACACCATGGGGAAAAACGTGTTGACAATAATGTTTTTTTTTTTTAAATGATAGGCTATGTAAAAGTACATTTAAAGACCGTTTTATTGCATTTGCATTGATAGTTTATATTGCAACAGATTTTGCCAAACCGCAAACTGTATAATTTGCATGTATTTCATACACTCTTAGAAAAAAAAGTATCTGAATAGCACCCAAAAGGGTTCTATGCTTGCTTCATATATGGCACCCCTTTGGGTTCTATATAGAACCGAAATTGGTTCCATATAGAACCCTATATGGAAACCAAGGGTTCTATGGAACCAATTTTGGTTCAGTGAAGAAGAACCCCTGGGGTTCTATATAGAACATTAAGTGGTGCCATATATGAAACAAGCAATAGAACCCTTTATGGTTCTATCCAGAACCTTTTTTTCTAAGAGTGTGGGCCTACTGAATCATGCGTCTTATTTCAGTAAGGATCAAATATACAATCGGTTAACCACGACATCCATCCTTCCTATCTGAAATAGGACTAAATTGTTTTTGTCATCTTGTTGATTTGTTGCATGTAATTTTGTTTGAATAACCTAATCATTACGACGGTATGGAAATTGTGTCAGTATATTTCCAGGGTGATGATATGGTGTGTTCAAAATTATATTCGTCCATTAGGCTAAATCAAACCGTAGGCTGTGTGTAATTTGGGGTTGGGGATTAATCCTTAAACAAATTGACTATTCCAAAGGGCTTCCATAATTATTATACAAGCTTCTTGCGTTTGACTATTGTCTGTAGGAATGAGGTTATCCTGGTTGTGGCTGCGGTGGGAGTTGGTAAGGTGGGTTAACTTGCACTGAAATCTCCATGAAGCACACAACTGATGACGTTGGGTTGAATGACCAATCGGAAGGCGCTGCCCTTTGGAGACAAACCATTTTACTTGTAGTGTCTGCATCAAGTCTGGAAGCAAGGACTCAATTTTAACAGAATCCACCTTAAATCTGCCTTAACTTATGCCCACTTTGCGCCATACCGAGTGAGACAATCAGAGGAGGAAAAAAATCGAAGAAACTGCGAAATTCAGGTGTTAATGGGACAATATCTGTCCGTTGAGGAGAGAGAGACAACAACACAGCGAGAGAACCCATTTGGACTTGAGAGAGGGGGTGAGTGCGCTCAAGGCAGAAAATTTGATGATGACCATGACTACGATGGCTGACGGTTTGGAGGCTCAGGACTCGTCCAAGTCTGCTTTCATGGAGTTTGGTCAGCAGTCTCACTCACAGCAGAGCTCTCCGTCGATGGCCGCCAGCCACTACCCGCTGCACTGTCTCCATTCCGGGTCGCAACCAGCTCACCATCAGCACGATAACTCTTCGTACTCCGGCACCAATTCCTACAACAGGTCGCTACCGTACTCCTACGTGAGCCACCCCCATCACAGCCCGTACCTGCCGTCCTACCACAATAACACAACTGGCGGCCAGACAAGGTTAGACGGCACAGGTAAGACACTTTTCCATTCATGAGAAGAAATATGCTTTATATCGTTTTCATGAACAGCGATAAAAATGCGAATGATATTTATTTCTTATCAAATCGGTCAAGAACGAGATCAAGCCCAATAAACGTCCAGCAGATCATTGAATGGCGAATTAATTTGAAATTGTGTCTGAATTACATTTTATCTGTTGCCTCGTTTTTCTCTACATCGATGTTTATTTCATGGTCTCTTTTTGCTTTAGAACACTCCCCCAGATCCCATTCTATGACCATGCTTTGCACGGGGTATAATGACAAGCGAGGAATCCTCACGAATTATTCTTGGAATTAGGCGGTCTACTCGCTTTGAAAGTTGTAATTAGCATTTAATTGACATGTCATTATGAGCAATATCCTAAACATGACAGAGGATTCAAGGATGATTACAATCAGATTGAGCAAATGTGACATGTGAATATGTATCAGTGGTCTGGATTTAATATAACCGAATGTATCATATTTTCCTTATTAGATAGGGCTATTTAGCCATTTAAATGGGCATTATAATCTACGAAATGAAAAAACATGATTTGAGGAATTCTTAACTATTTGTTGTGGAATATTTTTGGCCTTATGTAGTGGACTAACATTGCCCTTTTTTTGTTGCAGAGCAGCAGAAAACAACAGTGATTGAAAACGGAGAAATTCGTTTCAACGGGAAAGGCAAGAAGATTCGCAAGCCTCGGACGATTTATTCTAGTTTGCAGCTTCAAGCTTTAAACCACCGTTTCCAGCAAACACAATACCTCGCCCTGCCAGAACGCGCTGAGCTGGCTGCATCTCTCGGACTAACACAGACACAGGTATTTTCAAAACATGAATTATTATACAGAAGGGTATACATTATTGTATTATTATTAGCCCTTTATTATCATGTATTACTCGTATTATTATTAGGCATATTATTAGCATGTATTATTATTAGTATTACCCTACAATTGCTCTGGTTGTTGTGTTTTTGTTGTTGACCAATTTAATATTCCTTCGTAATATTTTCTTTTTTACGTAGTCCTGCACGAATGCATTGTAATAATGTATTGTAGGTTTTCTAATCATATTCAACATTTCAGTTGGTCTATAAGCCTATTTATTAAAATGTGAATGAATAAATATATTCATGATAGTAACATTATATGTTATCTGGTCTTCCGTTGCCTTCCTGTTATCTCGTGCAGGTAAAGATATGGTTCCAGAATAAAAGGTCAAAGTTCAAGAAGCTGCTGAAGGCAGGTGGCAACCCGCACGAGAGCGACCCTACTATGCCTAGTTCCATCGGCCTGTCTCCCCGCTCTCCAGCAATTCCTCCTATATGGGACGTTTCAGCGTCCAGCAAAGGAGTGAACATGGCGGCCAACGGCTACATGCCCGGTTATTCTCACTGGTACTCCTCCCCACATCAAGAGACAATGCAGAGATAGACCGCGTAAAGGGCGGGAGGCCCGAGGCCTGACAATTGATTTCCGTCAGCCTCGAGACATAAGTGTTGTCGCGTTCGAACAGAGAGTTTCCTTGAAAAAAGGCCCGGCTGCTTGTGAAGGATACCTGAGGACAAAGTCTCTGTGATATGACACACGATAAAGGAACTAACCGTATTAACTTACCAATGACTGTTCAGTGGATTGCCTTTGTTATGCTTTCATTCATGTCAACATCTGACTGTCAACATACCAAATATAGGCTATCGCTGACATTTAGCCCAGCACTTGGGCACGGAATGGACTACACTCACGCGTTTTTTTGCGGGTTGAACTTTATGCGAGGGTATATTGTTGAAATGTAAACTTCACTTTGACTGAGTGTTTTTCTTGAACATGCAAAACAAAGCATTCTGTCTGTATATATATTCTTCAATTTTAGTTGTACATACACTTTTTATGTTTTGTCTTTCATAAATGGAGTAAACCATGACTTAAAACAAAGTTTCGTGTTTTGTACTGCAAGATAAGATGATTGATATATGTCATACATGACTGATGAGCAATTCCTTGTCGAGATGTCATATGGACGTTCTAAAATGTAGGTCCCATAGGTTTTTCATGAAAATATTACAGGCTATCCATCATAACACTATGTTTCCTCTTCATAAAATATACATTTCCAATGCACTGCAAACGAACAAAATAGCCTATAGTCAAATGCATTAAACAACACTAGAGGAAATTAACTTACCCTGTTCCCCTTTGTCAATTCATCCCGAAAAAGATGGTCGCTCCATGTCCAGTTAATCTTGTGATTTTCTGCCTCAATTATAAGAAGTATTGACAAAATGTTTTTCTCCTCTCTGCCCGTCCTAATGCAAGACGCTAAATGCCAAGCTCCACGGGATCGATCTTGAACAAAGCATCCAGCTGCAGTCCCGTTCAATATGAAGGAGATATTTGGGACAATTTATTGGTTTTATCCAAGTGAGGCTTTTTTTCCATTCTCATAAATGCAGGCATAATTAGGGTAATTTTTGATGTAAGCCCACTGATTACAGCGTTTTTACCGTCAAAGATAATTACCTGTAATTTTCTATCACTTTTAATACTAAAAGGCATCTTTATTTGGATTTGAGGTAGCACAGACGGAACAAAAGAGGGAAATTATTAGGTTATTCATATACAAATTGCTGAGAGCAGTGAACGGTTGGGATATTATCTGAAATTACAATGTTGAAAAGAAGAATGTGAAAGTGTCTGCAGCTGTCAAGTCGTGGATGCCCCACTGGCACACAGTATACCTGCATGGGCCCCACTTAACCAAAACCTACAGGCCCTATCACCACCATATCTATAGGCCTATATTTGCATATATATATAGTCTGAGTTATTGCCCAAACCCTCGTAAACAACCTTTCACTTAAAAACGTTCCTACATTGGCCGAGAGTAACTCGTAAAGCAGAAAAGTGCGTGGTGTGGGGAACTTCTCCTATCAAAGTATTTTCACACCCAAAGGAAATCACTAGCTTTTACAATAAATAATCTTATATTGTCATAAAATGGTCATGCATTTTAAAGGCTATTTTGAAAATAGTTGCAATAGGAAGATTCACATTCTTCTCAGAATGTGCATCAGAACTGTGAAAAGCCTCAAACAATGCACATGTTTAATATTATGTAATTAAATGGATTAATATTACATGAAAAAATATATAGAGCTGGAAGGGGCGGGGGTGACAGCACTCATTTACATTTTTTACATTTTAGTCATTTAGCAGACGCTCTTATCCAGAGCGACTTACAGTTAGTGAGTGCATACATTTTTTCATACTGGCCCCCCGTGGTTTTCTGGCCAAGATATAGATTGATGCAATATATTTCAGTATAACCTGATCATATTTGATCAGTTTGGCTTCTTGATTGTAATTGATTATAAAATCTGAATTGGCAAAGGCTCTCTTTGGATATAGGCCTATGGAAATAACTCCGGACAAATACATAGGCTAGAATGAATGTCAATATTTACGGGCTAGTGTTGAATGCATGCTGCTCTGATTTGATCAATTTTCGTTGTTTTATTTAGCGCGTAAGACATGGGTTATTTATCACAAATTAACTAGAAAAATATATAACAAATGTAACCTAAAATAAGGTAGGTTAAAGCCTATAGCCTAGGCTATACAAACCAGATGCATTCGGTATTTAAAAATTCTAAAACGAAAGTGTCCAACAATCTTTCATCTAGTGATTCACAGAGAAAAAACAGCCTTACCTTCATACGATTCTTTAGCCTACAACAGTGTTAGCAGTGGTCAAAAAGGTTGGGCTTCGAATGGGAACGCTGTCTGCGACAGTACACGGTTCTAGTGCTCGTGGTTGAGTAAGCATATCCAGGTGTGAAAATGCTTGAACACCCCGGTACCTCTTATATATTGCCTGCAAAATGTTCTGTTATTACTGTCACTGTTTAGTGATGGTGAGCTATAAAAAATGCCTTCTGCAATCAAGAAGCAAGCGCATCTTTGCAAATTATAGATAATTGTCAATGTCCAGATTATGATAATGGCGGCCTAATCCTGGAGTATAATTATATTTGAGTGTTACAGTTGAAGCTGTCCAGTAACGCTAACTGTCATTATTTAGACTCGATTTGTAGGGGAGTGGAAAATGTTCCGTTGGAGTTTAACAGGGCTCTCGATATAATGGCATGGTGTGTGTGTGTGGTGTGTGGTGTGTGTGTGTGTGTGTGTGTTGGGGGGGGGCATAAACAATAATATTAAAATAAACCGTAGAATTCTTGAGTACTGGCAGTGTAATTATGGGACCACGTGCACTACGTCGACGTTTTGGATTAGCGTTCAGGCAAACCATTATATTTTTTGCAACAATGATTTCAGCTGAACATTCCCAAGTGCATTGGTTGCTTGCTAAGGCTATATTCAGCCAGATTTAATTTGTGGTAAATGTGTCCTCTCACCGTGTGTGTGTGTGTGTGTGTGTGTGTGTGTGTGTGTGTGTGTGTGTGTGTGTGTGCGTGCGTGTGCGTGCGTGCGTGTGTGTGCGCGCGCGCTTGTGTGATTGTTTCTTGGTTGATTCGTTTATATATGCATAATGATAACATGTTTTATGTAAAGTTTGGAACAAGAACCCAATTACAACACATTCATAGGCCTTGATTTTCGCTTCAGTGGAGTAAAGTTTATTTAGTGGTATTCAGTGGCAACACTTTTTGTAGGAGGCCTACTGCTGGCAGCTAATGATATGTTCAAATGTTGAAGATTTTATTTTACCCGGAAGGTCTGACGGAGGTGGGCTGTGGCCGGGAGTGGCAGAGCTCTGGAGCCGGTCTGCCCCCACAGGAATGCGAATTGTCTCAGATCTTCGTACCGCCCTTCGCCTCCTCTCTGCCATTCAAAGCAACTAATTCTAGGGGACAAAAAGAGAGCACGGCTGCAGACTGTCTGTCAGACCGACACCCATGTTCTTTGGGGGAGGTTGGAATCCAGATGCAACTCCAAAACATGAGACTGAAATGTGCTAATCTGATTTAAAGAATAGGCACAATAATAATAATATATTAACCGGCAAGAAAATAGTATCAACAACAATGTGTGTATCTTCACAATAATCTGATTTAAATCGTGTGAATTCTTGATTCTTTTGTTTGGTTTACATCTCGTTCACCACGGACGACAAGAAAAAACTAAATTAAATTTTTTGTTATGACTGTTTAATAAAGTAGTAACAATAGCATACCATTCCTTGAATATTTGTCTTTCAGTGGAACATCATTTACAACTCTAATAATGCAATAGTAGGCCTATACCTATAATATGCCATTTAGCAGACGCTTTTATCCAAAGCGACTTACAGTCATGTGTGCATACATTTTTACGTATGGGTGGTCCCGGGGATCGAAACCAATAGACACTAATCATCTACGATGCTCTCTTCGATAAGGTTCTGTTTTAGTCCGTAATGTATCCGCTCAAAACATAACGTACTATGTTACTATGCGCATAACCATAAAACAGGTTGTAGTACTAAACATGAATAACTACATGACATGACACGAAACAAATCTAGCCTAACCTTTTGGCATACCAGCAGGTAACTCCCCCTGAGAATTCCGCGCTTGTTGAAAATCTAAAATTGCCTAATTGTAGGCCTATAGCCTAAGCTCATTATACCATCTCCTTGTTGATAGATCTGTGCCCAAATTAATGTTGAAAGTGAATCACAAATGTGCACAACTGACCAAATATGGCACGCAGACAGTCCAGGCAAGTTTGATCTGTGCATGGATTTAAAGTGTCTCAGAATGTGGGCTAATTTTGTAATGTTACGGAGTCATTGATTTTCAGTGCGAATAGCCTGTCTATAGGCCTAATCATGAGGGAGGATTTGTAGGTAGGCCATTTTTTTAGTCTGTCATAATTCAGGAGGGCGCCATTAAAAGTCTCTGGGTTCCATTGTCGATTTAAAACGTTTAATTAGTCTTCCAAAATGCAATAAATTACATGCACACATTTACACATTATACACGTTCTTCTATGACTTTCATCAATACATTGCATATTCCTCTGAACATTTTAAACACGAGTCCAATACAATGTAAATATTTGTTGAACTGGGTTTCAGTATAACGTCCCAGATCCAAGAACCAAAGAGTGCTGTATCGAGTTGGGGGCCTGGAGGTGAGAATTCATGACACCAGCGGTGGAGTACCAAGACGCAGAGTTTTCCAAAAAGGTGGAAGCCGCGGAGTTGATGTTCTGTGCCTGGTGGCTGTGAGGCCTGGATGGGCCATGCGTGTCCCAGACGGCGGGGGACTGCGGAGAGTTGCATGCCATAGGGTCGCTGGAGCTCGGACTGTGTTCTGGTGGAAGCTCGCCATTCTTCATAATTTTCTTCAGTTTCGACCTTTTGTTCTGGAACCAGATTTTGACCTGGGGATGGATGAGAAATATGTCAAAGTGAGTTAATAAATAAAAGCATATTGACATCCCAAAATGCCATTATACAAAAGTATTCATACGAATTAAGCTTTCGATAATTTTTCAAGAATGGGGTGAGGTGTTTTCGTTCATTACGCACACTTTACGCATGACATGTATATTGTAAACACAATGCAAATTTGAACTGACAATTCCGGTGAATGTAAACAACATGGACCAAGTGATAATTTAGATTAAACATTTTTTTAAACAGAATGAAACTGAACATACAATGAAATTGGCGAAAAGTAACCCATTTACCTGCGTTTGCGTGAGTCCCAACGAAGCGGCGAGCTCTGCTCTCTCTGGCAGCGCGAGGTACTGTGTGTTCTGAAATCTCCGCTGTAGGGCGGCGAGCTGAAAACTGGAGTAGATTGTCCGTGGTTTTCTGACTTTCTTGGGCTTTCCGTTTACCATCCTCACTTCAGGTTCTGCTACTTCTTTTTCTGAAAGAAAGAAATCAATTACTTTATATGTGGTATACTAACAAAGTATTCGCATAACACAGTCATATTTCCTGGATATTCCATCTATTTCAGAGAGATCAAATCAAGAGGACATCTGTCGATTTAGAGGCCGATATTGAAGCCAATGCGTCTCGCAAAGAATCTAACGGGTAAAGGAAAAGTCCGTCCTTTTTACAGAATAACCTGGGTGAAAACTTTGTGCCCCTTTACCAATATTGATTTCAAGAATTGTACCATGATGAGAAAATAGCCTAGGTCAGGTTGAAATACTCGCATGTAAAATGTGTGTGAGAGCTCGAACACAACACAAACTTGATTCAATAATAATAATAATAATAATAATAATATTAATAATAGCCTAATACAAATACAATAAAACATTATGTAATTACCTTGCGGACTTAATGGTTGTGGTTGTACTCTGCTATAAGTTCCAGCATATTGGTGGTAAGCAGAGGCTGTGTATGCGCTGTAGTCTGGGTATGTTTTTGCAGGGTAATTTCCTGCAGATCCGTTTACGCCGTGGTACTGGTACTGATAGGCATTGAGAGGTTTCCCATACGAGGTGGAATTAGGCGAACAATAGCCATGGTGCACTGCTCCAGCGGGGCTATAGTAGCCAGAATCCGTGGCCGTAGACTCGGGAAGCGTAGGGGATTCCTGAGACGGGTGGTGCATGGTGGTGGAAAGCTGAAAAGGGTTCTGGAAGTCGGAAGGTTTGAAACTCGGAATCCTTCGGTCGAATACTCCAGTCATAGTTCGAAAGCAGCAACGTTAAATGGCTGTCTAACTCCAATGAGACGTCTGAAGACTGACTGAAGACTACACTTGCATTGTGTGATGTGTGCTTACGCCGACGTGGTCTCTCGAACTTCTGCCAGCCCCTCAGCAAAGACTTGGTTAAATCCTAAATTGCGCTCTTACGCACTGCAGGGAGGATCTGGTTCCATTGGCCAAGGCGTGCAGACAGCATACACCCCAACTCGTTCGACCAGTTTGCCATAGGCGATATACGACTCAGGCTACTTTGTTATGTTTTTACTATCAATCAAAACGGGCAATTAAACTGGGTGTCATGTCATCGATTGACAATTTAGCGGGGTAAATTACCGTTTCCAAAACGTCCACATGGATATATCAGTCTTGTCCCGTGTAGCTCAGTTGGTAGAGCATGGTGTTTACAACGCCAGGGTTGTGGGTTCGATTCCCACGGGGGGCCAGTATGAAAATGTATGCACTCACTAACTGTAAGTCGCTCTGGATAAGAGCGTCTGCTAAATGACTGAAATGTATCATGAGCTTCCGCATTAAAACATTACGACTGTTGAATTTGTAAGTCGCTCTGGATAAGAGCGTCTGCTAAATGACTTAAATGTGTTACCTGCCATTAATAATTCAGCTTTCGACAAGAAACAAAGAAATTACTACAGTTTTTATCTTACAATGTCTCATGATTGGACTTAATGCACAGACAGAAATGAAACAGTTTCGATTGCCACAAAATAAAATGCAGGTGATGCAACGAACAGATAAAACTAGATTTCTGTTTTACTTGCATATTCATAAATGAAGAAGAAACAAGTGTTTTTGTGTGTTTCTACCCCATATTGTCAGTCTAAAGGCCTATATGCCCATTGCCCAATGTATAAATGTATCTCTGTTCGGAAGAGGTCTTTGAAAATTAATTTGTAGGCCTATGTTAATTTTAACATCAGAGCAAGGTCTACCGCATCCTCATAAAGACATTTATGCATAAAATAAATTATTAGGCTATAACACATATTTCTCTTACCACGGTGAAAATCTATGGGAACTACCAATTAAACTCGATTATTTGTTCCTCATTGAAACAATGAAAACATACAACATTCATTAATTTTATCACTACGTTCACTAAGCTCCGTAGGGCCTGTGGGTGTTGCGCGCAACTGAACAACGCGCGTATTGTGGTAAAATGGCGCCGCTCGGTGGTGAATGAGGGAACGTACGATCACTTGGTGCGAAGCAGTGGAATCAACATAAAATGGCGCCACTCGGTGGTAAATGAGGGAACGTACGATCACTTGGTGCGAAGCAGTGAAATCAGCATCAGCCACACGCGACCAGACATTCCAAGAAAATATTTTGGGACGGGGCATCATTCGTAGCCGGATACTCAACGTAGTAGGCTATTGTTGCATACCATAAGTAATCAATCAATTAAGACTGAAAAATGTTATAGGTCTATTCATTGTAGACCTACTCCCCTCCATATTTGGAGAGTGATGCTAACGCTTTAAATGTTTCTCTATACTCCATCCAGCATTTTGGATTTGAGATCAAATGTTTCATATGAGGCGACAGTACCGAATGTTACCTTTTAGTTGAGAGTATTTCCATACATATCTGTTTTACCGTTTAGAAATTAAAGCACTTCATGTATCTAGTGCAGTCTAGTAGTCACCACATTTGAATAATTCATAAGTATTTGGACAAATTCACTTATAGTGTATTAAAGTGGTTAACATTTCCGTATTTGGTCCCTTACTCCTTGCACGCAATGACTACATCGAGCTTGTGACTCTACAAACTCGTTGGATGCATTTGCAGTTTGTTTTGGTTGTGTTTTGTTTTGGGTTATGTTTTGCCCAATAGTAACTGAATAGTGAATGATGACTGGAGTAATTTTCTTTCTAAGTGTGTAATAAAGATGTTTCTGAACACTTCTACATGAATCCTGATAATGCTATGATTAAGAAAAATGAATAGGCCTAATGAGTGGGATGCCATTCAGAGGCTACAACAAAACATGCAAACCTTTCACCATTACCAATAACAGGGGAGGTTAGCACTTTTTGATATTTTGATCTTTGTGCATCTGTAACCTTCTCACTCATCATTATTCACAATTTATTCATGATTGTCCATAATCATAGTAACATCCACATGAACGTATACTTAACAAACATTTAAACGCAACATGTGTTGGTCCCATGTTTCATGAGCTGAAATAAAAGATCCCAGAAATGTTCCATACGCACAAAAAGCTTATTTCTCTAAAATGTTGTGCACACATTTGTTTACATCCCTCTTAGTGAGCATTTCTCCTTTGCCAAGATAATCCATCCACCTGACAGGTGTGACATATCAAGAAGCTGATTAAACAGCATGATCATTACACAGGTGCACCTTGTGCTGGGGACAATAAAAGGCCACTCTAAAATGTGCAGTTTTGTCACACAACACAATGCCACAGATGTCTCAAGTTTTGAGGGAGCGTGCAATTGGCATGCTGACTGCAGGAATGTCCACCAGAGCTGTTGCCAGATAATTTAAGCCGCCTCCAACGTCGTTTTCCAACATCGTTTTAGAGAATTTGGCAGTACGTCCAACCGGCCTCAAAACCGTAGACCACGTGTAACCACACCAGCCCAGGAACTCCACATCAAGCTTCTTTACCTGCGGGATCGTCTGAGACCAGCCACCTGGACAGCTGATGAAACTGAGGAGTATTTCTGTCAGTAATAAAGCCCTTTTGTGGGGAAAAACTCATTCTGATTGGCTGGGCCTGGCTCCCCAGTGGGTGGGCCATCCATGGCTGCGCCCCTGCCCAGTCATGTGAAATCCATAGATTAGGGCCTAATTTATTTATTTCAATTGACTGATTTCCTTATATGAACAGTAACACAGTAAAATCGTTGAAATTGTTGCATGTTGCGTTTATATTTTTGTTCAGTATAGAAGTGTTCAAAAACATATTCTATTCTTACTTACAATAAAAGTGACTCCAAACTGGCACAATACATTTTTCACCATGCAGTTCCTATTGGGCAAAACATAATCCAAAAAAAATAAAAAATAAAACTGCAAATGCATCCAATGAGTTTGTAGAGTCACAAGCTTGATATAGACATTGCTTGCTAGGAATATGGGACTAAACACTAAACTTTTGACTACTTTAATACACAATAAGTGAATTTATCCAAATACTTATGAATTCTTCAAATGCGGGGGAACTAGATACATTAAGTGTTTTCATTTCTAAATGGTAAAACAGATACACTGTATGTATGAAAACACCCTCAAATAAAAGGTAACATCCTGTACTGTCGCCTAATATGAAACATTCTAGCACAAATAACAAAATGTAGCTTCACTGTCCAAATACATATGGAGTGAAGTGTTAATAGGCCTATATTACTATGAGGTAGTCCAATGGTTGGATTTGTTTTTTCATATTGACCTAAGAAGTTAATGGGATGAGCCCTCTGAATAGAATAGAATGGATGTGTCCATTTTGTGAAATACAGAAATGTGTCTATCTCAACCCCACCAAATACACACACACTTGGAGAGGCACAGGGTTAGCCACCAGGAAGCAGCACCCCTGGATCGAGATACGTTTTTAGGGGTTAAGTGCCTTGCTCCAGGGCACAATGGCAGGAAATGGTGCCAGGGTTCAGCAGCAGTCCACAGCAGATTGCCAGTTCAGTTCTGTCTTTTTCCGCAAATTTCTGGCTACTTGTCTGTCTCTCCAACCTCTAGGCCACCTGCCACCCCAATGTTGCACTTCTCTTTCTGTTTCAGGTAGGCCTAAGCATACAAGTGGAATTCAAGTGGAAGTGAATTTTTTTATGAGGAGTAGGCTGGGCCCCTAAATTCAGTTTAGCATGTTAGGCTGCCCCTACTGGTCAAACCATTGGGTCAAACTCCGAATTTGAGAGGATAAGCAGGGGGACGTGACACAAATGGCATGAGAAGGATGGGCTGCATCGCTACACCAATACAAAATCATCCAGTAACAATAATGAATGTTAATTATGACAGCCTTTCTGTGACTGTGGCTCTTCAAGCTAGTTCGCAGGACTTTTGTGGAATCCACGAGATTGGTTTATCAGTGAGCATTTATTTCAAATACAACATGCCCCGAAAATGACTGCTGTTTCTTCTTCCGGTGAAAGCCATTTGGCAGTGGCCAAATTAAGTAAACATAAAATTACACGTTTGGTTGGTAACGTTACAGCTATTTTGTTCTTGTACAGTGTTAACAGGGCCTAAATGAAATACATTTATTGCACTTTGGTTGGTTAATCTTCCTCTGAATTTCGCCATGTTGTAAGATAAACACAGCCAAGGAAACATCGCGCGGGGATAAGCGAGCGCTGTGCGTGTGACATCACACAGATCCTTCGCTAGCCTCTCTCGGCATAGCTCCGGTTTGTGTGTTGGGGGGATGGGGCCGTGCCGAGGATGATAAAGCTCTCGTGGTGTTGTAATTTACTGCTTGGCTAAAACCTTCCACCTCCTAACCGAGCCGCCTACACTGTTTTATATATAGGACCCATTTACGTATGTATTTTGGCGACGTTTGAGAAAAGTGGAGTACGACCACAGAGTGGACGCTGAACAAACGAGAAATGTATTCCAGTGGAGCAGCTGGAGGTAAGTTTTGCATTTTGCTAGTTAGCAAGACGGCTAGCGAATAAATGTGCTGATAGTTTGGTCTTTGGGGCCTCCAATAATTTACACGGTTTTGTTTTCATTTTGTAACACATTGTTCGCCAAGCTCAGTATAATTTCACAATAACATTTCGTCCCTAGCTAGTTAGCTAGGTCTCGCGTTAGCAAGCCTTGCCACGGTTTGCCCGGCCTGTTGTTGTTAGCCAGCTAGCTAATGTTAGCTAAGCCTGTTGACCTGGCTAACGATAGTTGGAAGTCGATTAACTTCAATGTTGTTCAAGTCCAATCCTAAAGAAACATTTGTGCAAGCTGGGCAAATAACAAATTGTGTTTTACAAATATTTAGAAGAATAGATGGTTGGCCAGTAGTTAGCTACCGAGCTAGCTCAGAGGAACACATTTGTAGTAAACTAGCTAACGTTAGCCTGCTAACTAACGGGTAGTCCCCTTGCTATCCAACGGCAGCTTGTTAGCCTTTTCAATCGTAAGCTAGCTAACATGGTTTGCATGCTAACTAGTTAGCTAGCTACCTGTTAACCATTACTTGTTGTGTAACTTGC